GACAGTTGACAGGACAGAACGGGGAAAAAAAGCAACAGGAAGGTTGTGCTCATAAAAAATAGTGTCATACTTCTGCTTAGGACGTGTTGAGGACTGATGGTTGTCGTATTGTGATTAGCGGGGCTCTGCCTACATCAAGAAGTAGCATAGTCTCTAAAGCCACCATCTGTGGAAGGAACTTATTCTCCAAAAGAAGCAAGCAAGCACATTTATTTGCAGATGTTTGATCATGCGTAGGGGTGGTTTTTTGTGCATTGGTCTGCAGTTGTGGTATTTGCTGAAGCTGTACATCACCACAAATTATACGTAGTGTAAGCTGAGACCACTAAGCAGAATATTTCTACATCCTACTTCAGCTGTGTTTGCTGTTTTATAACAACGATCTCTACGTTATTTGACCATTAGAGAAACAGATTTCCTTTAAACTGGACAGAAAAACTGAGGTTCCCACGGTGTCTGAAAGACACTGTCGATATATGTCCTACCTCAAACTCTTTTGCTAAATGATGTCTCGGTCCATTTTAAACTTGTTTGAAGGAGGAGCTTAAACTAAAGCCTCGCTTTGATGTTGCATAGCAGTTATGTTACTGCATGTAGACAGCCTGCTGATATCAGTGATACTGCGTAGTTGGGGGGCACTAAAGGGGGCGGGGAGAAGGCAAGAGTCTTTTGTAGTAGCTATTTTGAAGTCCTGTTTATTCATCAAATCCTGCCAACTGTGTACTGAGGCACTAGCAGATTTTCTGTTTGCTTCTGACATTTTGTGTCGCTTGGAGGTGGGTTTGGGGGTTTTTTGTTTCTCTTTTGGAACAAGAGACGGCTGTTAGTCACCTGGCTGACCGAATCAACGCTGCTATAATTGCAACAGTCATTTGAACAGCTTTATTTTAACCTGAGTGCTAACGGTAGTTTCATTTCCCAGACAGCTGCTTAGGTGTGCAGGGGAATGCTAGGTGACCTTGCTACTGTTGAAACTCCTTACAGGACTGAGTCGGTTGGTTTGGAGCACATACCCTTCCATTGTCCTTAGCGCTTGAAAAAGCAAAAATCTTTGATATAACTGCAGGGTGAGGAGAGGGGCATGTGTTGTACAAGAAAGCAGATTTTCAAGGACTGGTAACTTTACGGAGGGAGAGAAGCCTAAGGGAGTATTTACGTGCTGCAGTTCATGCCTTTGAATATCTTTTATGATCGTTAAAAGGGTAGGGGTGAAGACTTTGATATATTGCGTTTTGAGAACCAGAGTACTTTCTAGTTTCATTTCAACTAACTACTATTTTTAGGAGTCTAGCTTTTCTGTGTCAAAAGTAGCATCCTATTTTTTCCCTTCTCAAATAAGGCTATAACGATCTAAAGTATTGACACAAATGAAAGCTCTGAAGAAAGTAATGAAGATATTTTTGAAGCACTGGGATTAGTGTTTTTCTTTCATTTCAGTGACATGACTTTTATTGTGTGCATAGAAAAATACTTCTCTAAGATTTTCGTTCTGATAGTAGCATTAAACACGAATTCCTGTTTTACAAGACTGACTTACTGTAAAATACTGAGGTTATGGGATTGTGCTGCTTCTGCACATTCTACTATGGCAAAATTCGTATCAGACTAAATGAAGGGAATCCAGTTTGTATAATGGCAGCAAGGATATATAGCTTTTGGGATCAGTTTGGGGTTCCAGAATTTATGGCACATTACTGAACTGGTGAGCTATATATATGTATGTCATTTAATTTACAATCGTTATTTTGTAAGTCGTGTATAATAATTTCAGCTGTAGCCAAATTCAGTGTACTTTAAGTTGCATTTGTCCTGCATTTCTTTCTTCAGTGAGATAAGGCATTTTGTTCAATGAGAAAATGTGACCAACCTTCCAATAGCTGATCCAGATTAAGTAATAATCAGGTGTAATTCCTAGGGGGAAAGTAATTCTGCTGTATTGAAATTCTTATATCTTCAATTAACCTCCTCTGTTTTTACTGGAAATATTAAGTGAAGTGCCAGCTTGCGTTAGTCACTTCTTCCAAAGCTGCTAACATTGGTTTAATTTGCCACCACTGCTCAGGTTTTGTAGTCTAGTGAGCCCTGTGTGTTTAGGTGGCACCAGTAAGAAGGAGTGCATGCTTGAATAGCACTGGACTTGCTGAACACCTTGTTAGAGCAGCTTTCCATCCTGTTTGTCTGCTTCTGTACAGGTCGATGAGGAGGGTTGGTGACGTGCTTTTCTGTCCTCTCCCTCCCTATACCTTGCATTAGGTTTCACAGGGTTGTGGGAGGGGAGGAGCATGGATAATTTTTCTCTTTTTCTGCCTAGTGACAACCTAGACTTTATTACTCCCACTGCTTATGGGATATCTTGTGTTACTTTTGTTCCATTTTCAGAAAGCAGCAATAACCTTGCTTGGCATTAACAGATCCGATGCATATGTGATGTGTAGGTTATTTGAGATTTGGAGGCCGGACCCAGAGTTTTCTGGCAGAATGGGTGTCTGGGAGAAGAAGGGCTAGAGCACCAGAGACTCTGTCTAGCTCAGTTCTAGATTAGGTTCATTTGGATACACCTTCTCATTAGGCAAATGTACTCTGTTCCTGCGCTGACAAACTGCATGTTGAATGTGCCTACGATTTTGACTATAAATATAAACCTAAAACTATTTTGAAATGGTCAGCTGGTAAAGTGTGGGATAGGACTGGCTTCAGAACTGAAATAGGTTTATGTTTCAGTAGCTCTTCTGTTTTCCTGGGGGTTTTGATTTCACTTTAATGAGCAGAATCCACTTTTTTTATGCTCGCAAACCCGTTAAGTTAGTTGGGTAGTCTTGACATTGTTCTCCTTCCTTCCCCTCTCCTTGTTTTCTCCCAGTTCCATGTTTTTCTATACAGAGTAAATCTAACCCAGTGTATTTCTGGATGTAGCTTGATCTGAGAAGTCTGGTTAGATACATACGGACTAGCTCTGCTCTTTCCTGGGGAGAGGAGGTAAAGAACTTTAAATAAGCCTTTAAATAGACCAAGGTGTTAATTTAGTATAATCATCCATGCCCCACTAGCTAACATCACAATGCGTTAACAAAGCCAGAAATTAAAGCGAAGTGTAAAGTTTAGTCTTAAGCAAAATTTATCCACAGATCTCAATGATCCTTAGCTTTAAGTAAATATAAAGAGCAAAATCTGTCTTCTGTTAATTCATGTTGACAAAATTTCCCACAACTGGCTTGTCTAAAGAACATCAAATCCTCAGCATCTTGTTAGCAAGACAGTCATTCATGTCCCATGTCTGCTAACACAGTTGTGAATTTTTGGCTGGAAAAGTGATGTGCTGATGTTTGGCAACTGCTAGTAACTGAATTTGAGGGACCATTTATTTTAGGTTTGATGATACTTAGAATAAGGATGACTGTAAAAGCCAAATACATAGATATCTAGTGCCTGAAAACTTGTAACTTTTGGCCTGACTTGCTGCTTTTGCCATTTAACTTGTTTTGATTTTCATAAAGAGCTTCTCAGCCCAAAGTTTAGTGTGCCATTTTTACTGGGAGAAAATGGCTTCCAGAAATGCATGTTATACACCATAATGTTTGTAATGGCCCTGTAAATTATGTACTAACTCCAGCTAGCACATCTTAACAAAGCGTGACACCTGTAACCTTTTACATTTTTCTCATCAGTTGTGCTCTTTTAATAGTGACTTCACATCAGAAAGCACTTATTATGTCAACAGGTTGTGTAAAGAAGATAGCTTCTTTTTCTTTCTGTTTGCTAAACAAGTATTAATTTGCTGGAGGCACTACCTCAGTCTGTATTCTGCCTGCCAGCTGGCTTTTTGAAGTCTGCTTTGCAGAAGCTCAAAGGGGTGCCCTTTGGGACCAGATGACCTGGGAGGAAAAATCCCACTACTGGAGTAATTGACAAAATAATGTTTTCCATGTATTTTCAAGAGGTTTTTCTTGCTAGCCAGTTTCAGTTTTAAGGATACAGCTGAGGCTTTTTTTTTTTTTTTGCACCTTTGTTTGAGGTTCCTTTTTAAATTATGTGTCACTTGAAAATTTTTACTGCTTGGAGACTGCTATTTTGAGGGTGGTGATGTAACCAAAGAAAGATAGTAATTTTGAGGTTTTCCCTTTCCAGGACTCTGTGCATCTTTAAGGTCTTGGGGGTAATAGTTAGCTCCGGATAGGCACTTGCTGCTGCTGCTGCTTTTGAAAAAGAAAAGGAAAAGCACTAACGGAAAGTTTTTTGATTTCCCTTTTTTCCTTTCTTTTTTTTTTTTTTTTTTTCTTAATTATCACTTCCTGGTTTCCTTTTGAAATGCTGCTATTATCTGTTGACTACAATAGAAGTGATATATTGGAAACAGGTGTTAGACCTATGCAAAAGACTTACACCTGATGTATGGAGTCACATACGTCAGGAGTCTGGAGAAAACTTAGTCTCTTGTATGATGACCACCAATTGAGTATTCAAAGACAAAATATGCTAAAGGTAATTTCAGTCCGTTTTACATATCTCTGAGTGTGTCTTGTGCTCATCTGGTCATAAGCAAGCGTGCTATAAATGACAGTTGGTTTGTGTATATTACAGTCCTATATTCTGATATTATTAAAAAAAAAAAGTGCTCCTGCAAAATTACTGCAGTTGATTATTGAATGTATTCCACCTAAGGGAAAACTTTACAACCTGTAACTTGTTGACAAGTTGAAAGTTGATTTGGATTTCTCTCAGGTATGGTCTCCTGGGTCGACAGACATTGACAGCACTAAAACACTGGAGTAGAACCTCATAGAATTAATTCACTGTGTACAATTGGGGAATTTTATTGGCATGTTCTGTTCCCATAAAATGGGTTGTGCAGTTTCACTTTGTGGTAGGGTTTTATGCTTTTGATGTGGGGGACAAATACATGTCAGTCTGCTATCAGAAGACAAATCTGTATTGGAAACTAACTAGAGTCTATTGAAACTAACTAGAGTATTTTTTGTTTTCTTCTTTCCTTTTAGTATTGGATGAATGAATATACTTCTTCCCTTGGAATTGGAGTGTTCCATTCAGGTATAGAGGTGTATGGCCGAGGTACGTACAAGAAAAACATAACTTACTCTTTGTTCCGGTAATGCTGTTATTTAAAAAAGATTTTTCAGGTAGTGAGGGAAGTCTGGCTCCTGAAACATGTTCATCAGTTTTCTCTTAAAGTTCTCATCTCTTCTGCCTCTGGAAAAAACCTTGGATACAAGTAATCTGGCAGTCATCTTGCATTCTTGTATAAAGCTATGCAACTATGAAAAAGCATGCAATTTAGTCAGCTAGGCATAGGAATCTTTATGCTAGGTTTTGAAATACCTATTGTTAAAACAAACATATGCTTCATGTAAGCATGGTTGAATCATGTTTCCTCAGTATTCTGCCAGCACTTAGTGCAAGGAGTTAATTTTTAACTACAGAAACAATAGTCCATTGCAGATAGGCACCTAAAAGTGCCTGATGCTGGGGAAAAACTGTCTATTCCTTTTGGTAGGTTGGTTTGTTTTAAAGAGACAGTTTCTTTAAAAGGCATCTCATGCAGACTGTTTACAAGAGGTACACTTGTGATAAATACAGCAATACGTACCGATTTTGCTAACTAGGTTGCACTTTGGAGCTGCAGCGTCCTGGTCTGTTCAGGCCACTTTGAACCCCGTTGCTGCCGGAAGGTGTTTCGGAGCATGCTGTAGCACCGGCTCAGGTCTGAGGTGTTCCTGCCCAGCACTATAATGACGCTCTGAGGTGACGGTCTTGCTAAAAGTAGTCCATTTAAAGATGAAGAATCTCCTTCAGTTCTTTTTTTGGACTGTGTTTGGACGCAAGGGGAAGCGGCAAAAGGTGTGGCATGCGATCCAAAGACCACACTGCGCAAAGTTATCTTAAACTATAAATGTTTCAGCTACTATAATGGTCACATTGTAACTGGGTTTGCAAGTGTTAACAAAGCAACAAATTGACAAAATACAGTGCTTATTGTTAAAACTTTGATTTCTTTTAATCCAAACCAGAAAGACCTGACTCTTAATAGTGCTGCGCCTGAAACCCAGTTCTTGAGCTGTGCCAGATACGTGTGCCTCCCTTCCTCTTCAGATTATAACAGCTTTATCGTATAGCAGGTCATATGCCTGCTAGAACAATGACTTGCGTTTTTCAAAGTACATCGAACTTTATTTATTAACGTGTTGTAAAAAAGATTATCCACAAAACTGAATGCTAGACTTGGATGATGTGTTACAAGTTTTGAGGAAAGGAAGCGTGAAGTCATGCTTAAAGCTTTTTTTTGCGCTCTGGGTGTGGCATGCTGTGTTATCTTACAGACACAGAAGGAAGCTAAAGCATGCCGTGATATTTTCATGTACTGTAAGTGCTTATGCCAGTGGATGCTATGTGCAGACTTCAGATGCATGCACTACTGTACTTTCTTGTTACAGTAAAGAACTCGGGACAGTTGAACTTTGGCAAATCAAGGAATTAAAAATCTGTTAGGCCACTACTCGCTGCCACACTTGCAGCTGTAGTGCGCACTGAATAGAAGCGCCATCAGACCTTTGATGCAGTACTTTGAATCTCTCATCTATAAATATGTAAGTGGACTTTTAAAGACAAGCGTGTATGAAGAACATTGGTAGGATTTACAAGTTACAGTGTAACTTATACAATGAAAACAATATACACTTACTGTAAAGTTATTCAAGTTAAACCTCTACACTGATGCAGGAAATTCCCTGTTGGCTTTTACTTAGGTTGACCAGCAACTAACAAAACTATTCATTTCCAGCTCCCTGCATTTGTTACACATGTAAATAAGATGTCTGGTTTCTAGCTTTAGATCCTCGTGAAGTGATCTTCCAGTCAGGGAGGTCTGCTGTTCTTCACTGTCACTGTATACCGTTTTTGTTAAATCTGAGCTTTCTCTTTCAGAATTTGCCTATGGTGGTCATCCATACCCTTTCTCTGGAATATTTGAAATTTCACCAGGAAATGCTTCTGAGCTAGGAGAAACATTTAAATTTAAGTAAGAAAGATACCTATTTTCTTGCTTTTGAGAAGGCATATTAAAAAGACAACTTGTTGCATTTATTTTTGGGGATAGATGTATTGAACGATACTGCAGGATTTCTGAGAAATTAGTGTGTTTTCTTTACTTAGAAATGGAAGATGGACAGAGGTGATGAGACAGTGAAGTGTCTATTGCAAAGAACATTATTTTTAGCATACCATTACATTCCTTAAATGTATACAAATTATGTGGGCTTGTGGCTAGCATTTGTTATTCATCCAGTATATACAAAGGGGTAACTTTTTCAAGGTGGTGAAATTTTTATTCAAAGAAAAAGCTGAAAAATATTGCTCTTCAAGGCTTTCCCATGTCTCTCTTTCGCTTTCTCCTTGTGATTGCCTTGACCCGTCCCTACATTACTATAGCTCTTATCTGTTCTCAGCTGTCTCTTAGAAACAATATCCTTTGGAGATGAGGGGAAAATTGCATCAAGTGTTTGTCAGAGTTAAGTTGCAAAGAACTTAAGTGAGCTACAGGTGGACAATTGGCAAGGAAATAATCTCTCATGATAAAGACAAAAGTGGTGCTGTAAAATGAAATAGAAAGAATCTATGTTATTCTAGGAGGGCGGAAAGATCTCACCACCCACAGTGGGGTGATTTTTGAGCAATGTATGAACAGTAATCCACCCGTATCATGGAAGCCTGATCACGTTCTACTCTGTTTCTCTTCTAGAGAGGCTGTGGTTCTAGGCAGTACTGACTTTATGGAAGATGACATAGAAAAAATAGTAGAAGAGCTTGGAAAAGAATTCAAAGGAAATGCTTATCACCTAATGCACAAAAACTGCAATCACTTTTCTTCAGCTTTATCTGAGGTAAACAAACATGAAGGTCTATAGAAAGGTGCTTCCAGGTGGCTATAGAGCATCATCTCCTTCCTGTCCTATGGAATGTTTGGCCTAATTTCCAACTTCCTATCTCTGTTACCTGGGGCAAACGTCACTGTCTTTCAGGTTTTATTTGTGTTTATGTCCAAAGCACAAGATTTTGCTGCCGAAAATGCTAAATATTGTTGTCATACATAGTTTGTGTTCGAGCAGGGGTGCATTCCTAATTGAGAGACATAGTAAATAAAGTATTAACAGGATTTCAAAATCTTTTCAGATGCTTCAGAGATCACTACTGAAGATAGAACCACATGTTATTTTTATCAGTATTTCCCCACAGAGCCATCACACTGAAAATAATTTTTAAAGTTATGACCTACTGTTAAAGAATAACAAAAGCATTGAAGTTTCACAGACAATGTTAATCTTCTGCTTGAGAGGCTTTTGTCAAGTTACTGCTCTGCCAGCACCTGCATCCTGGCCATGTAGATACCTGAGTGGTTGTGCAGAGTATCTGACTGTGGAGTTGAGTGGGCTTTGCTTTTTCCCCTCAGCTTTATTTTAACATGATTGGTTTGCCAATATGATTGAATGCCTAATCGCTCATGGGTATCAACACAAGGGAAAGGGTCAGGAACAAGTAACCCAGGATAAAGAGGGGAATGGTGGTTGTGATTTTTATTGGTAGTTAGCAATCTGTGCTTGTCAGAATTTATTCTAATATTTCATTGAAGCACTCCAAAAAAGGGATGGCTATTTTTTCCGTGGTGAACTTCCATAAAACTTAATTGTTCTTTTTTTCAAAATAGTTCATGGCACACTTACTGTATAGCCTGTGTTTTGTGTAGACTGTTTGATCTTCCAGTGGTACTGGAAAATTTTATTGAGATGATGATTCGTGTGCAACACTGGTAGTACAAGTAAGTAGGGTGAGACATTGACAAAGCTGCAGTTGGCATGAAATCTGTCCTGTATGGCCAGGTTTTTGCCATACTCTTTAACTGCATGGTCATGTTGTTTCTGTTTTATGTGTTGTCCTATTTAGTGTTCAGATTGGCTATAAAAATGGGGATATGATTACGAGTTAAATGCTGCTCAGCTACAGCAGAGTAATGCTCCCATTAGCTATGATTTTCTCCAGATTTGCACTGGAGTAAGTAATACCAAAAGTGAATATGGAGGTAGTTAAGTAAAATAGCTCACTCCTTGAATAGTGACAACGAAACCATTTAATGGCTGATGTACAGTAAAAACAAGTAGTGCAGCTTTATATATTTTTGAGGAGTTGAAACCAGCTTTGCATTGTATAGCTTCTCTTGTTCCAGTGAACCCAAGCGTGTGTGGTTGGCCTGTGTGCTGTAAGATAGTGACATCTTGTGCAAAGTCATCAGAGGCAGTCACAGTAAATAGCCTCAGCTGTATGCGTAACTCCACGTAACTGTAGTATTGACACTGTCTTTTTGACCGCTTGATTTCAGGGTGCTTTTTTGTCGCAGTGAGATTTCTCCTGCAATTTTTGTTTCTGAGGAATTAGCGGTGAATAGAAAGCATACCTTAACTCATTCCTGTGCCTTTTATAGAAGTTATTCAAGAAGGGTGAGTGGGTTAGGCTTTTCAGGACTTCTAAAAAACCGTGTAGAACCATGTGTCAAACTCTCGCAGTGGAAAACAAGTCTGCTTGTGTGACTTGGGATGCTGCTTTTACTGATGGAAAAGGTTGTCTTAGGGCAGCTCACTTGAGTGCTTCTTGATTGGCGTTTGTGATACGTAAATCGTAAGGCTGCTGCAGCCTTTGCTTTTTGTTTACAGTACTGTAGCTTTGTTACTGCTGAATCCAGAAGACAAATTAATCCTTTCTTTTCCCTTCCCCCTAGATTCTGTGTGGAAAAGAGATTCCACGATGGGTGAATCGCCTTGCCTACTTCAGCTCTTGTATACCGTTTCTCCAGAGCTGTCTGCCGAAGGAGTGGCTAACTCCTGCAGCCCTCCAGTCTAGCGTTAGCCAGGAGCTACACGATGAGCTGGAGGAAGCCGAGGATGCAGCAGCATCAGCTTCCTTGGCAAGCTCAGCATCTGGGTCTAGAACTGGACGCCACACCAAATTATAAGTCCTCCTCCAAAGTAACAAGTAGTTTGAAATACTTCAGTTTAATCTCTCCAGCAATTGACTTCCTGACAGAACATGAGAGCTGACTCTAGAACATTGTTTTTATATGCAAAAAAGGCTCTCATCAACCCCTGTTTCAGCTCAGGATTATTTATGTAGTGAAAAGAATTGCTGGGAGAAAAGGGAAGGATTTTGTGTGAAGCCACCCTTTTCATTTTCACCTGTTTGGTAGACCTGGGTTAACTTAACATCCTGTATAAAGCAGAACTTAAATTATTTGTTTACAGTATTGTGTACTGCTGTTTACAAGTCCTGTAAGGACTCCTGCCACCATGGAAGAAGAGAGAATTCGAGTTTCATTTAACTGTTGATATAACTCAAAAGCAGTGGTATGATGCCCTGGATGAACTCTCCCCTTTGTTTTCAAGATTTAAGGCAGGTGAACATTCGAATTCTGAGAAATGCCAGGAACCGCTGAATACTATATATGTGAACAGGGTACCGTGCACTTAAAGTGGCTGATGTAAACAGGTAGATTCCAGGATGTAGGGAGACTGGTTTTGTCCAAGATCTATTACTAGAAGTATGACCTCTACATTAATGAAACTGTGGATTTTTGCACATATGAAGGGAAATTTCTATCTCATTACAATGCACATTGATCCCTTTTGGGTTTTGGGGGTTTTTTGGGTTGGGTTTTTTTTTTGTTTTGTTTGTTTGGTTTTTTTAACTTGGCCATGTAGTTTGCATCCTATGTTCTGTCTGTATTTACAGTCTACTTCAACCAGGATTTAGACATGTGAATATCATCTGTTAGAAGCATCAACAAATTCTTCACTGTTTGCTTTACTTGATTTCAGACTTGTATATAAAAGTTAGTACTCGTATTCTTTTTTTGTTTCATATAGTTTGGAATAGTGTAATACAAGCCATTTATGGTTGGGGAATGGCCTTGCTTTCTGCTGCTGAGTTTGCTTCATTTGACTTTGTAAACATTTGTGTCCTTTTTTTTTTTTTTTTAAGAGCTATAAATTACTGCCCAGTTGTGCATATCCGCACAAATTATAGAGAAATCCTAATTTATTTTCCCACAGTGTCTGTCTGTGGCATTAACTTTCTTGTCAGATGTAATGAAGAAAAAACTGAAAATTGCTTATGCACCTGCGTGTTTACACAGCAGAACCCACTAATCTGCACACATAATTATATCTGGAGGTAAGAGATACTATTTTCTAAAATGCAGAAGTATGTTTGCTGGTAGATTATAATTAGAGCTAAATTATAATTAGTGATCAGAATATATAATGGCATGCCTTATTCTTGTTCACTTACCAAGAGAATTAATGGTTCTTCCAGTCATTAGTGTAAATTAGTGAGGTTCTCTTGTGCACATGAGGATACAGTAGCACAAACATGAGGGAGGTGAGCTTGTGTATTTTGAACGACTCGCTGCCTTAAACTAACAGAAAACACCATCCATGAACTGATCAGCTCACAAAGAAGTGTGCATTACTAGAAGTATAAATGATTCTTACAAGCTTTATTTTCAGTCTGTTGCTGGGTTTAGTTTTTCCATTAAGTGAAATACTGACTCTACAGTTTCTGCTGTTTAAAAGGGGAAAAAAATCCTCTTAGGGGGCAAGAACGCTTCAGGTTATGAATGCTCCTAGCCATGGGTAGTCAGTGCCATTGAACCCTACAGGAAGGTGCAGTAGGCTGTATCGTAGCAAGACTTCTTAGGATTGCCAGTTCCGACTCACGTTAGAAAAGAGCGGAAGTTTTTCTGCTAGCAGTTGGGTTGAATCTTTTGTCAGACAGTCTTTAAGTTTTCACTCATCTTTTGTGATGCAGTGTAGTAGGTACAGAGAGAGAGAGACACTCAGTTCTGGGGGGTGGAAAATCAAGTGAGACTCTTTCTGGAAAGCGTGGGATAATAGTAGAAGTCTCTTTAACTGTAGTTTGGTACGTGTTTTAATAATCTCTTCTACCAAGTGGGAAACGCTTAAGACTGACAAGTCTACCCCTAACTACGTTCTCGGTTTGGTCTCCAGAAGCTGGACATACTGACTGTCCCTGTTGAGTGCTTTTGCACTTGAATCTCTGAATTTGAGTTCTCCTTTTTTTTTTTTTTTTTTTTTTTTTTCCCCTGTAGTGAAAATGAATATGGTGGTCTCCAGTCAACTCTCCAGCATTACAGAACTGAATCTCACACTACTTACAGCTCAGACAACAGGCCGCAGACAGGTTATTTTGTCTCTGCTGTGCAGCTGTGGTAGTAATGTGACTAAGTCTCTTGGCCAAGGCAGGTCCTTTATTTCAGCTCAGGGTTGAGGCCACTGATCTAGCAACGTACTGTAGCTTTTCCTAGGTTTTAGGAAAAATAAATAGAATGAATTTTCATTGCTACCTAACTTTTATGTACCAAAATCAGCTTTTTAGGCTTCTGATGTATCCAGAGCGCTAGGTCACAAATCTCTACACCTTCATTAACACACACAACTACAGCATGTACAATGCAAGAACGTGACAGATCACAGCACAGTTTTTATTTAGAAGTAAAACTAAGACTATTTTTTATAAAGCAGACTGGAAAGTTTGTAACAAAAACAAACATTCATTTTATTGGTAGCTGTACAGGTGAAAATACTGTCTTGTGCTCCGTTTATATTTTGGTTTGTTTGTTTCAAAACCGTCCATTTGTAAATCCTGTGAGGAAACTGACACCTGAACCCTGAAGGCCGCTGGATATTTATCCAAGCAGGCGGTACTGTACCTTCAGTCGCCTGCTCTCAACTCAGCCTCCACTGGATGCCTCCAAGAAGTCACCCTGCCACTGGTTACTCCGATACGTTAGCAATAGAGCAAGTTACCTTTCACCAGCATTACTGCCAAGCAGGGATTACTTTAGTCTACTAATGACCACACTGTGCTAGGACTAGAACACTCCAAAATGCTGTGAGAAAGCTGGACACCTGTGGAGTCTTTTCCATCAAAATGGGTAGAAAAATATCCCTACTTCAGGGTTCTGCTCTGTTTACTTTCTCATTCTTGTTTAATTTTCTGTAAGATAGTACTTTTGATACATAGTATATTCTTTAACTCGAAAGTCATTTTATTTAAATGCCATTTTCTGTTCAGCAAGCCAAAAAAAATCCAATGTACTGTCAGTGTGCACCAGTAACTTCAGAGTCGCTTGGTAAAAACATAGTTGCATTACTTCTAAAATTTGCAATGCAATTCTGATCACTATTGATACATGATAATTTTCACTGTTGGAAGTTGGTTACAAGCTGAATATTCACTGATGCATTTTTTGTAAACTTGTATTCAAGTTTACTGGACTACATAGTATTTGTATAAAATTCAAAGAATTTTGACTTTTGTTACCTGTACATGGCAACAAGTTGTCTAGCATCTTAAACTTAAATCCATCAGTTTATTAAAAAATACTTTTGTAAAAAAAAAGATGGCTGTGTGTGTTATTCCCCTGGTACCTACAGCTTGTTTTGTCGGTGTCACCCAAGCTGATCTTTGGTTCTGAAAGATGCTTTCAAAGGATAGTAAAACTATCCAGGGGCTTCCTATAGTTAAGCTATAGGCTGTATTCTGACATGAGCATCAGGAGCTGCAGTCTGGTTTGTCTGAGGCATTAAGAGCCACTAGTTTTTAATAGACTAAATGAAAAATGTTTTCAGATTTGGTGGGCTAGCTACAGCTATTGGGGTACAAAACACTTAGGATATGCTTGGTATATGTTACTGATGCTATGTGCCATATCCTACAAATTTCCTCGAAAGCCCGGATCCGTGGTCTGGATTTGCACCAGACTAAGCAGCCACAAGGCGCGTGGGGTCTAATGCCTGCGCCTTGCTGGTTCCTTTGAGCAGAGCCCAAGGACCCAGGCTATGGTAAAGTACCGATGGCAATGCCAGCCTCAGCCGCTGCTGCCCACGCTATGGCAGTGCCGCTGCTGGCATGGCCCAGCGCTGGCCCAGACGGGAGAAATTCCCCTGGCTCTTCTATTAAACACGTGCCAAGCTATTTCCCGGGCGGGGCAGTTCAGCAGTTGGGTTCTGTGGGGCGGCGGCACCTCTGCTCGAAGCTGTGGCTGCGCTGGTCAGCAGAGCTGGCCGCTCCTCGCAGCCCCGCTGCCCGTGGGGCAGCTGCATGGGGAGCCCGCCGGCAAAGCGAATCCCCCAAACATCCCAAGCTCAGGTGCAGAGCTGGCAGCAGCCCTTGAGGGTGGGCTCCGCCAGCACCCAGCGGTGCTGGCTCTGGACTTTGCAAAACACAGATGAGTGCACATGTTTTAAGAGGATAGATACTTCTCTGCGCATTGAGGGCACTGATAAATTGGAGCGCTGTCCTGGTGCTGCCCTGCCCCTCTTGCCTCACAGCTGGGAAGGGGATGTGTTTTGCCATGCGTTGCGTGCTGAGCCTGGCGTCTCCGTGCGCACTGCTGATGACGACTGGCTAGGACACGACTTGCTGGAGAAGCTGCTGAGATACAGGTGTGTCCCCTTCTCCGACTGCTGCTGGACCCTAATCACTAGCAAAGCTGCAAGAGAGTTTGAGGAACTCATAATCTATTGAAAGGAAACTTGGCAACTTTGACAGAGTTCATCAGTTTAAATCTGTGAATTCCAGATAAATTCACCTGTGGCATCTGATAGCCAAGAGTGCCTATCCATTTCTAGAAAGGCGATTGATACACAAAAAATACATACTGCATTGTTTGTTAATGGGTGAGTAGCTGAGTTTAACTGAAGTGTTCTTGAAGAAAATAGAAATGTTTCAAATGAAACTTCATTTTCTAAAACAATTTCTTCAGGCATGCATGGTTTATGTTGCAAATTTGTCATCAGAACTGCTTCTCAATAGGCAAAGCTTTTTTTACGGCTAAAGGCACCTTAGTCATATCATTCCCCCAAAATAAATGTTTTCTTTCACGGTACTTCATATAATGCAATGAAAATGGTTATTGGACAGTTCCTGACTTTCTCTGCTACCCTTTGGTTTGATCTAAATCAGTTTGTAAAAAAAAAAAAGCTTCAACAAACTTTTCAATGTAACAGCTTGTCAGGGAAGCCTATGGCATTCCTTTGAGAAAGCAGCTGTACTCCACCAGTAACTGAGTTACTGCTGAGCTAGAGTAGGAATCCTGTACTTCTAACATGATCTGGTCCACTAAAATTAGCATATTGCAAACTAAACCAGGATCTAGCCATAAAGAAATAACAAGATTCCTGCACTGGTGCAGGTTTAGCTCGCTTTGGGGATGGGAGAGGGCTACGCTTCCAGGTCCCCTTAGAGAGGGACGTTGTTCACACCAGACCAGCTCTTCGTCCCTGTCCATCTCTGAGCAGCAGCCCAGGACAAGCAGAGCTAAGGTAGCGCTGTTCCTTCTGCAGGTGGAAGGCGGGTGGCCAGCAATTCTTGTATTCTTTTCAAAGTGGTGGGTCAATCCTGTAGTCCTCAAAGCAGGAAGCCTGCTGCACTTGCCGATGACCTGCTGTGCTCCTTCTAGCCCGTGCAGTTGTGTGAAAGGAGAGAAATCGCTGTTGGCGTCTTCTGAATGAAGCCAATGAAGGTGAGAGAGAGGGGCTTCACGGGTGCCACATGGGGGATGTTCAAACTAAGCTCATGGGTTTCAACTCTTAA